AAGAAGGAAGAAGAAGAAGAAGAAGCAGAATTTTGAAATCTTCTAACTGAAATATTTTTATCCGTGAAGAAGCTTGACTTGGCTATATATGATGTGCATGTTACACCCACGAGTGGGTGAATGAATTGGCAGAAGACTCTTCCAGCTTAATTAGAGGTCTTGGTTTCAAATCTTGAGAATGTAGCTCCGTTAAACTTGTGAGAAAGAAATTTGTCGTCAGTTGGGTCCTGTTCAGTTCGAATCCGGATTAGTCGGTGACCTAATAGACTTCCAGATATCGAAAGATCCATACAAAAAAAATTGATGTGCATGTTACTGTATAAATAAAAAGAAAAAAAAAAAAAAAGAACCAGAATTTTGAAATCTTATAACTGAAATATTTTTATCCGTGAAGAAGCTTGACTTGGCTATATATATACGTAGGTAACTTTTGGAACCAGAATTTTGAAATCTTCTAACTGAAATATTTTTATCACTGAAATATTTTTCCCCGTGAAGAAGCTTGACTTGGCTATATGTAGGTAGGCAACTTTTGGAACCAGAATTTTGAAATCTTCTAACTGAAATGTTTTTATCCGTGAAGAAGCTTGACTTTGGCTACATATACGTAGGCAACTTTTGGAACCAGAAAACTGTGTGTATCATGTATTCCAAAAATTAATTTGACAAGTTAAAATTATTAATGAAACATATGGAGATGCTTTCTTTGGTATGTATGCTTCAAAAAACATGCATGATCCATTCAATTTTGAGCAGGCAAACTAGGAAAACATTATGCATGATCCTTCCTGGACTCCACTAGAATATATAAACCCACCTCAGATGGACCTACCTTAATGTATGAAAGAGAAAATGATTTTTACCTTGAATTTATTAATGTCAATTCCATTAGTTGAAAACCATGGGGAAAATATTTTTCCTGTGCACTCTAATGGTGTTAGGTCCTTAGGGAATATTATCAACCATGTTTAAGGGAAAGTAATCATTGCTATCTCCTCAATCTGTCCTTTGATTTCCAAAAGTAACATTAATATCATTAACTATTTGACAATTGATAAGCATATTTGTGCAAGAATAAGGAATCTTCTCTTTGAACCAAAGGGCACTATTGTAATTAACGTCATTAACCCCAAGGGTACTATTGTAATTAGGATACCCAAACCAGCTTAAAGCATGTATTTTTTTTAACTATCAATCAACCTAATTAACATGTAAAAGCAGGCATGAAAGTTGAAACCTCTCTGAAATTCTAATTAATTGAATATTGAACTAGCTAGGACATAATTAATTAAGATCATTCTTTATCTTATTTTCCCCTTAAAGTATTATTTTCCCCTTTAAAATATGGGTACTTGGACCAACTAATTTTATAGTGTCTCTAAATAGTCTTGTTCATATATATCAAGTATTTGTAAATCATTTTTTCATACATATTTAATAAATCTTCACACATGAGTGAGGTATAATTTATTAAAATTATTTGTGCCCAATAATGACATGGAGGGATTTGAAATGTTCCCAAATCTCTTTTTTTTTTTTTTTTTTTAAATTCAATTATAAGATTTAAATTAGGAATCTCTAACTTAAAAGTCTATTAAATCTTTTAAAGACGTGCGTTGTTTGTCTTTCTACTAAGGTCATCAGATGATTGTTGAAACGTCACACCCCTCAAAATCTCACCATAAATTCATGCCCCATCTACCTCGTATATCACATTGAACCCAAATTAAATCAATCTTTTCCTGGGATTGAAACCAACAGGGGAGGTGAGAAGACGAAATATGACACCAACAAACAGCACGTCAACAGAGAAACAATGGAATTCTCCATTGCCTTATCTTTATGGCGGCCTGGGTCTAATGCTATTGCTTATAACCGTGGCATTAGCCATGTTGGCATGCTCGTTTAGGAAGAGATCTCTTGATTCACCTGATTCTCATCTTCAAGAAGAAATCTCAGCAAAATCTATCCGCCCTTTACCGGATGCTGAACTGAGGATCGATATGGTGGTGATCATGGCTGGGAATAACAGGCCTACATACCTGGCAACACCGGTCATTTCTGATTTTGAGCAAGTCTAAGTAACATCTGTTTTTTCCTTAGAGTTTTCCTTATTGAAGTTGAGGGAAAGTATGTAAGCATATGAAGATTTTTTTTTTTTTTTTTAAAGGTTAAACTCCTATTTTGGTCCTTGAACTATTGTATGGACTCTCGATTTGGTCCCTGAACTAAAGAAATTCTTAATTTAGTCCTTGAACTATTGTACGATCTCTGAGTTGGTCCCTAAACTATTGTTCGGACTCCCAAGTTAGTCCCTAAACTATCATACGGATGCCCAATTTGGTCCATATTGTTTACCAATTTAACCCCAACTTGGTCATTCTGTTAAATAATAGCTCAGGGAACAAATTGGGGCAAAATTGTAAACAGTAAGGACCAAATTGGGGGTCTGTACAATAGTTCAAGGACCAACTTAAGCCAAATTATAAACAGTGGAGACCAAATCGGGGGTCCGTACAATAGTTTAAGGACCAAATCAAGGATTTCTTTAGTTCAGGGACCAAATTGGGGGTCCATACAATAGTTCAGGGATCAAAATGGAGATTTAACCATTTAAAAAAAAAACTTTGATTTTTAGCCTGGAGAATTGAGACTTTTATTGCTTGGCTCTAAATCTTCTCTCTCTTTTGAACCTGAAATTTTTTGGAGAAGATGATAGGTACAAGTACACTTGTGTGAGTGGAATTTAGAACTGGCATCCATCAAAGTATCAAACTCTTACATTTGATCTATTAAAATACATTACATATTGGACTGAGGGTTTGAGAAGAGGGTAGAGATGTGTTGTATTCTATAGTTCTATATCAAAATGAAGAGAGTTTTTGTAAGAACATAAATGATATCAAAAATAGCAAGGTTTTTAAAATCGAATCGATTATTGAACCGTTTTTAGGTTTGGTTCTTGGTTTGACCAATTCAACCGATTGAATCGGTGAACCAACCGATCCAAACAACAAGGGAAATCTGATGAGAATGGTAGGTAATTTTGTAATTTTATTAAAATTAAGGGTTAAAATTGGTATAAGAAAGGAATGGTGAGGGTGAAATTGGAAAAAATAGAAAGAAGATTGCATGAGAAATTGAATCGGTGGTTTTTTTGGTTCTATCGGTTCCATCGGTTTTGATCGATTTTGACATCAAATGGTTTTTTATATTAACCGAACCATTTTCATTATCGGTACTGGTTCGACTGGTTCAATCGGCCAGTCCGATCCGGTTTTAAAAACCTTGAAAAATAGAAGAAGTTGAAAACTTGAAAAAAAAAATATTTAGTCTAACTAGATATTAAATCAACAATATTCAACTAACAAAAAGTTGACATATTAAATTTTTCATGTTAAATTACACATTTTTAATGCCATACTATAAATTATATATTAATATGTCATTAATTTTAAGTATCAAATTAATTAAGATACGACGTAGAAAACTATGATATAGTATCTCTATTTTTTGAAATTTTTTTCTCTATTGAACAAATTAAAAGGAGTAGTGTGGCCAGAACTAAAATGTCAACAACAATGAAGAGCCATCATTACCAGCTTTAAGTTTCTAAGATTGCATAAACTTGACAAAGTGAAATCAATCAACACTGAAATTAAGTGCCAAGGCATCCAATCAAGGCACAAAGTATCTTCCTCAAGGATAAAGGGCATTATGGTAATCCAAGCACAAAAAATGACAACATCCTAACAAATTCTCCATCTATAAATTCCTCTCCCACCAAGCAGCCCTCTCCATTGCAGACAATAAGAGGAAAGGAGGAAAAGAGAGCGAGAGAGAGAGAGAGAGAGAGAGAGAGAGAGAGAGAGAAAAGGAAAGGAGCAGAAAATGAGGCCTACAGCTGCTGCTAACACAAAACCAAGCACCAACCTGAAGGATTCTCCCATACCGTACCTCTTTGGCAGCTTGGGTCTAGTGTTCTTACTAATAGCTGTGGCATTGGTAACTCTGCTTTGCTCCTATTGCAGAAAACGACCCTCACCGAGCTCATTATCAAGCGAAGAAAAACCACAAATACTGCCCATCTGTTTGGTGATTGATGCAGAACCCAAGATTGCGGTGATCATGCCCGGAGATGACAAGCCTACCCACTTGGCAGAACCAATCACTAGCACTACTACTCCTCCATCAATATGTCGCTGCCAACACGTTCAAGAAGATCGCTAGAAAACTTATGCTTTTAGAACTCAAATACAATATCCCATGATGAATGTGTTTCTTAACTTTCTCCTGCACAATATTTTATAATTTGTAGTATTGGAGCTTGAGGTCGGAAGAGAATAGTGTAAAATAGATGAGGAGTGAGCGTAGAACATAGTTGAAATTCTCTCATCAACTGAATTTTCATGTTCATTTGAAGAGGGTTTTCTTAACCTAATGAACTTTTTTATTTAAGAGTGTTCTTAAAACTTTTTTAGTTTTAGTTTTAACATTAATGATTTATTTTTTTATTGAATTGAAACACTAAATTTAATTTGATATATATATATAAACGGCATAAATTTGTTATTTCAATAACACAAAAATATAAGAACTAAGTAGCAAGTAAACTCAACAATAATAGAAGAAAATTTTTTTCTCACAAATTTAAAAATTTATTAAAGGAAACTCAAAGCATTTTATCAAGTTTTGTTGAAGTTTCAAGGTATGGTTTTCTTAAATTTTGTTAAAAAAATTATTTTAAAAATTAATTTTCAAAATTTTCTTTAATAAATTTTTAAATTTTAAAAAAATTATATTAATTAAAAAACAAACGTGTTTCACACTCTCCAAATGGCCTCATTGTTTCGAGCTCCAAAGGGACGCGTGCAAACTTCCAAAAGAAAAGCACAGCACTCGTCTCTCTCTCTCATTAGGTCTTATAGATCTTTCAGGACACACAGACGCAGGTCACGCAGCTAATAAAAGGCAGAGTGGATTCTACGAATTGATGGGCCTAATTAAATCAAATTGGGTCTTTTCCCTAATGTATAGGCAGATTTACATCTCGAAACCCAACACAAACCGCACATATTAAAACACCAAAACTAAAATTGAGAAGGGCAAATATTCCTTCATTCGTTCAAAAAAACAAAAAAGTTGATTCCATAACACAAGGCATCTAGGCATGTGCTCAATGCTTTTGTTTCAAGAGTGGTGTATTTTAACATCTTATTCGGTTTGGTTATTCCATACCAAAATTTAATTTCACAAAAGTAGCTTTCTTTACCTTCTTTTTTTTTCCTTTTTTCTTTTTTTCCAATTAATGGCGATAGTGGACGCGGCGGTAAGAAATTGCATACAATAAAAGGATGAAAAAAACGTAAAGGTGAAGAAGGGAGCTTAAAAAAGGGTGTGTTTGCTTTGCACTGTGAATAGTGGGAGACAAATGGGGGTAGAAATTGTTTTTCTAATCTGCTTTTTAGACATATATGCTCAGAATATTCTCCCATCTTAAATACAGTTCAAACCACCAAGAAAGGTCAGCAGCTTCCCAATAACTTACACTAGGCGTTGAAAATGAGTTCCATACATTTTCTTTGCAAAAGCTTTGGATATAATTAGGAGGAAGTGGTGGATCTAGTCTTCAGAAACAATCCTTCACTAGTCTAAATTTACATATATATGCTTCTGAAATCTGCATTTCATGTCTATTATTTAATCTAAATTAACAAAATTGGGATTTTCCAACGGCCTTAGATGTTGAGATGGTCAGTAATATTATATGAGGGTTTCTGGTTTTGGGAAAGCTAGCTCTTTTATTCTATCCCTAACTTTTTATTTTTTAAAAAAATTTATTAAGAGTATTATCGAATTTATTCTCTGCAAAATTGTGAAGAAGTGGAAAGTAATTAAATTGCTTCACATTTTTTTTTTATTTAGCAGTTAAGTGAGATTATGGACTAATTTTTACACAATATATATGTCAAAATTGAAATTTTCAAAAATAATTATCTTCTCAAATTCCCTTTTAAACTAGTCTACCACTACTTCGGTTAGTTGAGACTTAACGTTGTTAATCAATCAAATCAAGTATCTAGGTACTTAATGCTTGAATTCGTCTTAAAAATTCGGGTTTGAGTATTTGTCAAGCGCAATATAATTGAGTTTATATGCACTTGGCCCGTGTGATCCAGTGCTAGAGCCACTGAAAAGTGCACATCTCCTTTTTCTGGGCAAGTGCACATCTCTTTTTCTTGGGCGGGTTTCGAACCCGTCCCATTATAAAATTGTTCAAA